GTTATGGGCAACAAATATTCACCCGACAAAAAAAATTATTTATTTCGAAATTTTATTATTATTTTTTAACTAAATTTGTTTCTTAAGATGCAGTCTATGATTATAAATATTTTTTTGTATTTGAAAAACACACTTACCTTGGTGGGATTTGAACTCGGGACCTCTGCATCGTGAGCCAACTGCCTTACGTGGTCGACTACTTCTTAATTTGAAGTAAACGTCATATATAGTCTACATATGTCATACCAGCGCAAATATATAATTTTTCAAAAATTATCTTAAGAAACAAATTCAGTTTAAAAAGAGTAATAAAGTTTCGAATTGGATATATGATATAATATTGCCCGCTGCTATTCGCGAATGTCTTTCGTTCAACAAATGTCGCGATCATGCCATGGTTGGCTACGTATACGAGGTACGTATGTATAGGAGGTATATACGGAAAGCCCCCTAAAAAACTGTACCTCCTATGACACGTTCGTGCACGCGTCCGCGTCGAGTGCTTCGCGAATGTCTTTTGTACGAGGTACATATGTAGGAGGTACACATTTGTACGAGGTACATATGTACGTACGAGGTACGTATGTACGGGGTACATACGGGGAGCCCCCTAAAAAACTGTACCTCCTAAAACTGTATCTCCTAAAAAATTGTACCGTAAATTTATAAATGCGGTACCTCCAATCGGTACCTCCTCCTTTATCAGTACCTCGTGTATTCCGTACCTCGTGCTACTGTACCGGGAAAAGTATCTCCTAGCAGCATGTGACTCCAAATGTCATTTCCATTTAGAAATTAGTACCTCGAATTTGGAGATACTACGCGGTACATGCTTAAGAGTGTATAATTTGGACCCAAGCTATCAATTGAGCCTACTCATAACAGCCAGAACTTTGGTTCAGCCTTTATTGAGATTCGAATTTCGATAATCTAATCAATGATTCAAGCAAAAGTTGTTTAGTTTAACAAATGACAGATACATTCGCTCGCTTTTCAAATCAGATTTCCTCGAGAATATAGAAAGCTTCATTGAAAAAGTTATATTATTTTGCGTGTTGGAGTTACTTTTTATATATCCTCACGTTTATGCCATTTTAAGTTATATAAATAATATGTACTTTATGACGGGTAGTGAGATATATTACCTTGGTCATCATCTTGATATGCAAACATGATAATTTTATGTATTACTTTGCAATTATATTTTATTTGTCATCTTGCTTTCGCTACACACTAATTATTTTTTTCCATTTAATGCAAATAACTTCAAAACATTTATATACGTAAACAAATATCAAGGTTTTATATTAGTCACAAGCAGCCAGTCGCATAAATGCAAGCAGTACTACTTTCAATTGTAACGTAGTCACAAGGTTTGACCCAATCCAACATCTACATCATCTCTATGAACGTTTGTGTCCAGAGGTTAATCTTCTATTCTAAAATCATTCGTTATTAAAAAATAAAATTTCCTAACTTATTAATAACTTTGCATATGTTACAATAAAACACGAAACAAACGAGCAAGCCAAATAGATGCCGTAAAAACGGAGCTTGATATGCTCATTGCCTGTCGCAAATCTCAGAGACGTAAATTTTTTATTTGGTCATATGACCTTACGACTGCTATTTGCGACTACGTTGGACTACGTTACGACCGGTATAGCAATACTGTTTGCAAAGAAAGCAGTACTACTTACTCGTACTACTAGCAGTTCTGCTTGCTTAAAACGAAGTTTTTACAGAAATTATATTCTTTAATTGGCTGTGACTTTCTTTAATGTAAAAGCTCAAATTGCAAGCTTCTTGCGACAATATAGATTGCTTGTGACTAATGTAAAACGACCTTTATATACAACAGCTGTTTTCATATAAAGATAAATACATTGCAATTCATTAATAATTATATATTATTTCTTATATTGCATTTATATAATATATTTTATATAGTATAAGGCTTTTTTTAATTTATTAAAGTCGATTTAATTTAGAATTTCTCGGCATCTTCAACTTTCTAATCTCAAGATAGATTTCAATTATGAGGATTTATTAATTATTAAGCATTAGTATCAATTATCTGGGATTATTTATGTGGAGAAAATAATAATAAAAGTCTTACCGAGAAAGATAATTGCATTCTGACAGTAATATTAATGTAATATCGTATCGCTATTATTATTAATTAATTGCTTAATATAACGTTCGTAATTTGTCTGACATGTGTTGCTATGTCATTTTGTTTGAGATTACTGTTATCGAATGTTTTACATCAGAATGATAAATTATCTACAATCTATCAGATCCGAATAGACTGCCACATATTGACACTACCAATTATTTCTTTTTAAAAAGTAGTAACAGATTATAACATGTTTAATACGAAAAAATTAGCGCAAAAGGTCTCAGTTTTTCAATATAAAAGTAGAGATAGGATCTGGTTTAATAAATATTTTTTAATTTTACTCAACTTCTACGATATTTATTTTTATTAAAAATTTCAAAATTATTCTTTTTCTCCTCTCTTTCGAAAAAGTTATCGGAACTTAGTATGTGATATGTTTTGTATTATAATGTATTTAGGAAAAAATCTATCATATAGGAAATCTATCAAGGAAACCAGTTCAGAGCTATGCATTATCTCTTCCAATGTACACTTAATATGAATGATTAGGGTACATGGACTATCTTTCCGTACGCAATTATGTTACTTTATATTAATACTGTATCTTTTTTGTATCTATCTTATTTCTACTTGCTATTTATTTATTCTAGAAATAGATTTTAACAAGTGAAACATAAACTAAGCGCAAGATATAAAATATAATAATCGTATACATTATATATTTACCTATGCAAAAAGATACCCTAGACAGCACGCATATCCAAAATCAGGATATAAGACGTCTTAAAGATATCTTTATGAGTCATTTATATTATTTTTATAATATGTTTAATATGTTTATCATATAAATTCAATTCAGAATATTTCAAATTTTTAATTTTTAATTTTCAAAGTTTAGTGGAAAATTAACATTTATTTTATACACACATTACCAGATTACATAGATACTTTTATTGCACATATTATATATAATATATTATATGTAAATCAAGAAACAGTGTCTCGCACCCAGCTTTTACGTGTCAGCGCGAGACCACCCCGTGTATCCTTACGCGGACCGTCCAGTTGAGTAAATTATTAGATCTCAATAACAGCTGAAACGATCAACTTCTTATTAAGCTCATACAATTGATTGCTCGAGTTTATTTTACATAAAAAATTGTCTCTTTTTTTTCCTCCATTCTGTGAAGATATATTATAATATATCTGTCTAAGTCGGGCAATTTATTTTTAAGTAACGTTTTTCAAAAAATCTGCATCTTCAAATTTCACTGTACGATGACAGAGTATTATACATATATAGATTAATACCTCGACTGTCACATCGAGATAATTCTATTGGTTTCATGTAGTTGATCTTATTGCTTGCCATATTGCATGCCATTGAGAGACATGGTATTCCAAGCAAGAGAAAAATATCTAGTGATTCAGAAATACTTGTGTAAATTTTGGAGATAAGTCTTTTACAAATAAACAAGAAAAAAATGTCATATTTACATGCATTTGTCCGAAACCAGTCATTTCCCGACATATGTTTATTTAACATTTTTTTCTTGTTTATGTGTGGAGAACTCACTCCTAAAGTTTGTACAAATATTTCTAAATTACCTTATATGATAGGAATGCTTTTTTAATTCTATTATAATAAAAATGTATGGATGTATTGCATGCGTACCTGTACGCATAACACATGCGTTACTATGTATGCTGTGATAAAATCCATACGTAGATATATCTTCATTTCACCCATACGCATGAATTATGAATAACTAACATTTTTTGCAGCAAGAATAAAAGGTTTTGCTACTATTACTAAATTATTGCTCTTGCTGCAAAAAATGTTAGTTATCTATATCTTACGACTAGATTAGCTAATTTTTCTTCCATGAAGAAATTTGTTAAAAATTAATTTTTTCAAAGGTAAAGAAACAGCTTCAAGTATACATGCGTCCCCCAAAAGATTTGATAACTCATAAGTCAACGCCAATTTGTAGTTGTCAGTAAAATCAAGAATAATTATTATACTTCTGTCTATATACTGTAGAAAAATCTAATGTGTAAAATAGTATATTATAATAATAATAGTAATAATAATAGTAATAATAATAATAACAATAACAACAATAACAACAATGTTGTATTATACGTTATTATTTTTTATATTTTTAACTAACAAGCATTTAAAAAATAGTTTTAGTATTGCATAAATGAAACATACAATTTCGCTATTTTGCCGCGGATTCCATCCATCTAAATTTTATATTGTATAAAGCTGTCTTAAATCAACCTGGCGTACAGAAACTAGGCGTATCCAGATTGTATTAAAATAAATACATACACGTATATTATTACTATATTATAATATACATCATTTTGTGTATTGTATATTATTTTGTATCGTACAATACCTACTAAAACTATTTTCGTAGTTAAGTTCTTGTTAGTTAAAAATATAAAGAATAATAACACGTTATATTATTTTAAGTATTTTAAATATTTCTAGCATTGCATCATGTAGAGACGATCTTCATTATATTTTAACTGTATTAAAAATATATAAAAACAAAAAAAATTTATTTATAAGAGATTTTATTTATAAAAAAAATATACTTTTAAATAAGCAAAAATATAAAAATTAATTTACTTTATTTCCAATAAATATCGTCAAAATTATCATTTTTTGACCATTTTGCATCAATTTTTTTTTTAATGCGATAGCAAAATTGTGAAAACAAATTCAACTTTAGCACATCAAATTACTTTGATAAATATTACGTATTCTTAAAAAAAAGATTCACGCAAGAGTGTGTTGATAAACGTCAGAATCATTAGCTTGAGTGGGGAAATATAATAAAAGGATCACCAAGTCAACGATATCCTCATTTGGTAGTAGCATTCATATAAAGTGCATTAATACTTTGCATTGATTATTACTTACTACAATGTTGTTTGTAAATGGTATATTGATTTCTCTGGCAATTGTTGTTATAAGTTACTTTCTTTGGTACTGCTGCCACAAAGTGTTTTTTATTAGAAGATTAAATAATTTACCAGGACCAAGAACATTGCCATTTATTGGTAACTTTCATATTTTGCTGGGTCGTGAAGGTAATACCAATACTTTTAAACTACAGATATATTAATATTTTCAAACTATACAAAATTAAAAAATTGGCATTAAAATTTTCTAAAGTAAAAGTAATTTAATTTTTCAAATAAAATTAATTATGATTCAGAGTATTATTAATTTAATATAATGACTAAAGATAAGATTTAGTTTAATAAAAATGTATAAGGTATTTTTAAGAATGTTTAAGGCTATTTTTTCCGTCAAATTGATTCTTACAATTAGATATTATTTTATCAGAAAAAATTTATTATTTATAAAATTAAATTATTGTATAAAGCTTAATACAATTATATACGAAATCAGATATATAAAAATATTTAATATTAACAACAGAATTAAATATAATTAAATGTTTTAGTTAAATGTAATTCAAACTTTTTATGAGCACCTCCAAACTTACAGATAAAAATACCTAAATAAAATTAAAGATTTTTAGTATATGTAAGTATCTGAAACAAGTAGTTTGTCAAAATTAAGATGGGGCTGTAAGAGTTGTCACGGTTAATGATGCGTAATCTATTTAACCAACATTACGTGGCAGCCTTCTAACGACAGTCTCTAACTTCATTTTATACTGTAATTTATGTTTGTCTAAATTCTCTATTGTTATGACAAAGAATGATGACAGAAAAAGTTTTTTTAAAGTCATTTTTTTCGAGATATCAAAATTAAAATTATTTTTTTTAATGAAACCATATGCCATGTTTTTGCCTGCGCTAATGGCCGACTTCAAAAAAGTTCATACACCTATGACAACATGAGCTTCAAATAATCAAACATACGTAATTTTTTATGTTTTAAATTATTTGAAGATCATATTGTCATAAGTCTCTAAACTCCTCGATTTTGGCCATAAAGTGGCGCATACAAAAACATATGGTTTCACTTAAAAAAGTGACGTTGATCTTAATATTCCTAAAAAAATAATTATGAAAAAAAACTTTCTGTTATCATAATTGACCCTTCAAACAGTGCAAATTTTTGCCTAGACATTTTTTCGTATCATCAAAAATAAATGAAATATTTCAAATGCTCAAGTTAAGTGACCATCCTGTATATTATGGAAACCAGGAAAAACAAACGTAACATTTGCTTATTTACATCAATATTTTCCATTTGCTTGTTTGCATATAAAAATTTTTTCTCCTTTATAAAGTAAACACATTCTTTCTACATTATGAGATAGGTAAAATCTAACCACATGTTATAATTAAATAGAAAAATAAAATTTTATGAAAATCAAAATTTGATATCTATTGTCCCTATCCCTAGGACTGGTTGTAACAATACTCAGAGTTGATTGTAACATAGTAAAAAATAAAATAAAAACAAACATAATCAAAGTAGCAAAACGTTTTATCAATCTTGATAATTGCTTGAAGACAAAAATACTTTTCTCAAATAATTATATAATACTTCTGGGCAGTTTAAATTATTTTGAACATAAATTATACAAACATATAATCAACGAAAGTTTTTAACATAACAATGATTTTTCTCTTTACAACATAAACAATTTCTAAATTAAGATTAGGTAATTAGTAATTACCTATACCTATGCCTGTAAATAATCAAAATTTGAAAGATAACTTTCTAAGATCTTGAGATCGATATTAATATAAACTAAAATATGAGGAAGCCTGTTTTTTTATGCGTAATTATTAGCAGATATTTATTAATTTGGCTTCCTCATAGAGGAAGCAATGTGCAAGTTTCTACTTGCACACTTAAAACCTATAAGAAAGCAATGTACAAATTTTCACTTGCACACTTAAAAACTATGAGGAAGCAATGTGCAAGTTTCTACTTGCACACTTAAAAACTATGAAGAAGCAATGTGCAAGTTTCTACTTGCACACTTTTTTTTATGGATCGAGTATCATTAAAGATAGATTGATGTTGAATTTGGCAATGATCGATGAAGGGGTTACCAATTTTTGTCTAAAAAGTGTACAAGTCATACATGTAATCTTATATATAAGGTATCATTAAAGGGAGGTTGTTTTGAATTTGGCAAAGATTAGTAAAAAGGTTACCGATTTCTGCCTAAAAAATGTATAGGGTAGACCGAGGCAAATCGGATTACTAATTACCACGATAAAATAGCTCGTTTAAAATAAAACACTAACGAAAATTGTCTTAAAACTTATATATTAATCCGATTCGCCTCAATCTACCTTAAGTTATTTGATGGATAGAGTATCACTAAAGAAAGATTGTTATTTAATTTCGCGAGGATTGATAAAATTACAAATTTCTGCTTAAAAAGTGTATAAGATGTAAATGTAACATGATTATCGGTATATCTAATAATCGGTAAAAAAAGATTCTTCCTTTATAAAATTTTGAATTTTTTGAGGATTGGTAAAGGGATTACCGATTTCTGCTTAAAAAGTGTATATATAAAATATAATGTCTGTATGTCTGTTCTTTATACACTCTTAAACTATTCGACCAAATTTTTACCAAAAGTATATAAAACAGGAGTAGAATTTTCCGGGGAGTGCCATAAAATGTATAATTTTTTGTTACCGATCTTTTTGGAAATCGGTATAAAAAATTTTTCGAATTTTTTGGGAAATAAATTATCGAATCTTAAGCGTCGTCTACAATGGTAGCAGGAGTATACAGTAAGACGTAAACAGTAAGTTATTGACTAATGAGATTTTTACAATTCAAGAATAATCGACTATGGTTGGTCAATAGTTTACTGCTTACATCTTACATCTACGTACTGTATACTCCTGCTGCCATTGTAGACGTCGCTTTAAAAAATTGTATATAAGACAGGTGTAGAATTTCTCGGGGAATGCTATAAACTGTATAGTTTTTCGTTATCGATCTTTTTGGAAACCGGTATTCGAAATTTTTTTAATTTTTTGGGAAATAATTGACCGAATCTTAAAGAATTATATATGAAACAAGGGTAGAATTTTCCGGGGGAATGGTTTTACATTAATCTACCGATTTATCGATTTAGTTAAAAACGGTTCAAAAATTTTATTAATTTTTCGAGGATGATGGGTTTAATTGCCACGATGGATATTATTTTTCGATAACAATTTATTTTTTTTAAACCGATTCAAAAATTCAATTCATTTTTCGAGGATGGGTTTAATTGCCACGACTCCCGGATAACCAGCTAGTACTCTATATAAAATTACATGTATAACTAATGCATGTAACTCTTTAAGCAAAAATCGGTAACTCCTTCACCGAGCCTCGCCAAATTCAATACCTTTCTTAAATGATATTTTATCCATTAAATAACACACATTTTTTAAGCAAAAATCGATAATCCTTTCACCGACCCTTGCAAAATTCAAAACAACTTTATTTTAATGATACTCTATATGTATAAAATTACATGTACATTTTATACACTTTTTAAGCAGAAATCGGTAATTCCTTCACTGATCCTCAAAAAATTCAAAATTTTATAAAAAAAACCCTTTTACCGATTATTAGATACGATAATCAACCTAATCTTAAAGTATTATATATGAAATAGGGGTAGAAAAGACAGAAGAATATAATAAAATTAGAAATAGCCCTATATTTCAAAATTTACAAAAGTTATAGCAACCACGGACATTTCTAAAAAAATTCAAAAAAATTTTTTAAAAAGAACTTTACCAATCATCGCCAAATTCAATACCAACCTTCCTTAAATAATACTCTATCAATTAAAAAAATAAAAAAAACAGCCCAATATCTCAATATTTGCGAAAGTTAGAGCAACAACGGACATTTCTAAAAAATCTGCCACATACACACATACATACTGACATCTTTTTTTAATGCAATATTTCAACATTTTAGAACACTCTGAACATATTAGCATCAAAAAACAATCTTTTTTTTAATTTCTTCTACCCTTATTTCATATATAATTCATTTAAATTTGGTTCAGATTAGACCCAACTTTATGCAATCAAAGGTTCATATACGAAAGTCACGAAAACAAAAGCTTCCTCTATGAAGAAGCAAAAATAAAAAATTAATAAAAGAAAAGTAAGTAATACTTTGGTATTTGCTATAAAATTGAGAAAGAAGTACTACTACTTAGAGAAACATTTATGGCAAACATTTAATAAATTTGTTATTATAGTGCAAGTCGGTCTAGTATAGGCTTCTTATATGTCGCTGCCGCCTGTTCATATTTCGGACGTTGCTAGACTTCTGTAATAAATACAAATTTATACCAATAACAATGATTACTTTTAGGACAAGACAGACTAATACTTTCATCCTGACTGATATTTCTACCAGAATTGGTAAAACAAACACACAACCCACACACACACACATTGATTTTTTACAAAAAACTAATTTCCAAATATTGTTTTCATGTACCAAGCTACTTAAAGGAGTAGTGATTAATTTATAATAATCAATAAATAAGAAAATAAACCAAATTTCTAATAAAATATTTAAAAACTAAAAAAACAAAATATTTACTTTGGTCGTGTTTTTATGGCGTCGATGCAATAATCTTTCATCATCACTGACAATGAGTTTTGCGCGCTACTGACAATGAAGTGGGAAGGGCATTGAAAAAACGACAGCGGATAGATTCGTATATAGGAACAACAGATTTTAAATCACGTTGTCACTTTCTTTCCTGGTCTCCCCTATAATTAAAATATATGTAATTTTTATTTATGTAATAAATAAAAATTTATGTAATAATAACATGTAAATAAGTAACCTCATAGAAAAATATCTCTAAGATATATTAAAATTTTTAGAATTTGTGAATCTTCTATTAAAGATGTCAGAAGATTACTCATCTCCTTTACAATTTTGGTTGGGCAGCAAGTTATTTATTGGAATATACGAACCGGATGACGCAAAAGTAATGAAAGAACGTTTACTGCACCATAATGTTTTCATTATATCATAATAAGCAGCTACTTTATATAAATTATACATAATATGTATTATATGCATACATAGCCTTATTACTAATATTAACTTATTAACTAACAACAACTTAAATAACTCAGATTAGTTTACAATTGATAAAATATATTATGTTTAATTACGCGAATGAAACAAACGCGCAAACGTCACCATAATGCGGTGAAAAATTTATAATTTTTTAAATGTTTTTTTTTATGTTTTTAGACTATTTTACACAGCAGAAATTGTATAGAGAAAAGTATGATATATAAAATTGTTCCTCTACTTGGTATGGGATTGATCACTGCTCCTGGTAAGATATATCTACAAAAGTAAAACATTATACTATAATTGCTTTTTATAAGTACGTAATTTACATGTAGTTACTTTCTTTGTAATTAATTTAAGGAAATATTCAAAATTTATTATTAGAACCGTTTATATTCTAGCATTACATTTATAACGTATTAACATTGTACCATAAGAAATATTATGAATATACAGGGTGATCTATTTGAAACAGCATGGTCGAATAACTTATAAAGGAAGGAATTGATAAAAAAGTGTTTTAGATGAAAGTTATAGAGCTCGAAGGGGGCCAATAGATGATCTTATTCGAATTTGGTTTAGGACCCATGTTGGGTTCAGTAGGGCCCAAGTCAAATTTTTTAAATAAAAACTCCTATTTTCTATTGTATCATCATTTTCTACTGATTAATTTGAACTTTTGTATCTGAAACATTATTTTATTTTCTCTATATTTTTTAAGATACTTAAGAAAAATTTGGTAATTTTTTTAATTTTAGCTTACAATATCTCAATAATTGTTTATTAAAGGAAAAAAGCGGTACAGGACTTTTTTACTTGATTTGGTCTCAAGAATATGCTGTTGCAATTGTATCTCAAACTTTTTTATATACCAGATAGAAGAGAATCAGGCTAAATGAGAACCAGACGCGGTAATAGATGCGCAAAAGTTTGTCGAATTAATACGACACCGTACACAGAATGAGGAAGATTCTGAGTATTTTTTGCAATAAATTCTTTACAGATATTTAGCTATTTAGTATCAACCGATTTAATTAAGAGGCAAGGAAGCGATTTTACTACTGGAGCTCGTTGACAATTTAGTCGGCGCAAAATTTACAAATGTTAGAAAATATGTGTATAATACACAAAATTTTTAGGTGTTATTTTACAAAAATTAAAAAAACTTTTGCGCATTAATTATTGCGTCTAGCTCTCATTTAACTCGCTTCTCTTCTACTCGTAGATTTCCAACAAAGCCTATATATATCTAATTTAATTGTGTAATATACATTTTTTTGGAGCTTCTAAATACACAAATATTTAAAAAATAATATAAGTACACAAATATTTAAAAAGTTGAGGTACTATGCAACAGCACATTTTTCAGATCAAAACAATTAGTCAAAAAGTCTTGTTCCACTTTTCAATCCGACAAACAATTATTGAGATATATCGTCAGCTACATATTGAAAAAGTTACCAAGTTCTTCTTAAATATCACAAAAAGTATAAGACAAATAAAAAAAGTTTCAGACAAAAGTTGTTCAAATTAATTAGTAGAAAAAGATGATACAATAAAAAATGGAAATTTTTATTTAAAAAATTTAATTTGGGCCTTATTGTACTCTATTGGGTGGGCCCAGCACAGACCCAAAATCTAATAAGACGTTTATTGGCCTCTTCTCAACTTTCATCTGAAACATTTTTCCAAGAAACCAATACTTTCCGAGATAATTGGCACACGAAATAAAACTCACCCTATATAGGGTTAAGGCTCAAAACCTATTCCCCTCTCCCCAAACTCATCCATTAATTAAGAGCACCAATAAAACCCTATATAACCTCCAATTTTTAACCCCATAATAGCCATCCTCATAAAATTAGTAATCTTTTGGTACCAGTTTCACCAAAATCATCGACAATATTTAAAAAATAAAAAAAAATTAAAAAAGCTTTAAAAAGTATAAAATAATATTTTTAAAAATTTCTTTCAATTTTTTGAAATCAGTGCAAAATGAATAATACTTTTAAGAATCCTTTTCAATTTTTGAAGTCGGCGCCAAATTAATTTAGTAATTATTAATTTGGCCCCAACTTACACCGATTTCAAACAATTGCTTTTTTCAATTTTTTTTTTAAATATTTTTTAGAGCTTTTTTTGAAATCGGTTCTATTTTTTAAAAAATTTTGTTATTTTTACTTATTTGTTATTTTGTTACTTTTTTAGTGCTTCATTAAATTAATATGAATAATATGAATAATTATTATCTTATATTTCCTTACTGCTCCGTACCCTGATGTTCTAGCGTGATATTTCATATACTAAAACGTTCCTGGAGAATTGGTCTATAGGACAGTGAAAACCGCATTTAATCCGTCCAGTAGTTTTAGAGAAAATCGTGGATATACATACATATACGCCGAATATAGAACCTTCTTTTTTTGAAGTCGGTTAAAAAATTAGTAAAATGTTGGCACCGGTTTCAAGAAAATCGATCCATTAATAAAAAATTATCTATTTACGAAAAATTAAACTTATCCTCCAAAAATTAAAAAAATTTTGACATTCGTTTCAAAAAATTGGTCAATTAATATCTACTCATTATTTCTCAAAATTTGAATAATTTCCAAACCGGTTTCCAAAAAATCGGTAACGAAAAATTATCAATAAAAATTATCCATAAAAAAATTCAGCTTAATATATCTCAAAATTTGCGGAAATTGGAGCAATCACGTATAAATAAGTAACATGACCCAGTAAAATGACTCGAAATTTGTCGATCTCGAGGAAATAATACTGACTGGGCTGAAACTTTGTAAACAGGCTTGTTTTAGGGTACTATTCAACATATTAAAAGTCCCCACGTGTGGACGCTACGTTGCGGGGAGGGGAGGGTCCAAAAGGTCCCAAAAATCAGTTTTTCGCAAATAACTCGGAAAATATCAACTTTACGGAAATTTATGTAGATATAAAAATTGTAGCTTACAAAATTTCGTAAGTAAGTAATTTCGTAAGTATATATTTTTTTAAACAGCAATTGGAAACCTCTTTACTATTAGCAATTTTTTTAATTTTATTACATTCTTTAGTTTTTTCTACCCTTATCTATATATATATATATATATATATATATATATATATATATATATATATACTAGCTGGTTACCCGGGCTTTGCCCCGGAGGACATATGTAATAAGACACGCAAATAGTCTCTCTCTCTCTCTCTCTTTCTCTCTAAAAATATTATTTTTTTAAAGTTCAATTCTGTCGTATACAATTTAAGATTCACCAATTATTTCCTAAAAAATTGGAAAAATTTTGTAACCGATTTCCAAAAAAATCGATGACATAAAACTATACAGTTTATAGCACTCCCCGGGAAATTCTACCCCTGTTTTATATACAATTCTTTAAAATTCGATCAATTATTTCCCGAAAAATTAAAAAAATTAAAAAAATTAAAAAAACCGGTTTCCAGAAAATTGGTAACAAAAAACTATACACATAGTGGCACTCCCCGGAAAATTCTACCCCTATTTCATATACTTTTGGTAAAAATTTGGTTCAGGGGTTTGGGCTGGGCGTTGATGAGTCAATCAGTCAGTCAGTCGGGACATCTTTCATATATATAGGACGTTCCATGTCAACCGGGACAGGGCCGTCTCCAAAATTCTATTGAACCGATTAAAATGGTTTAGGGCTTAAAATCTTTGTTTTTGTGTGCTTTATCAAATACAGTGTGGTACTTTTGAAAATTCAATATAGCGGTCAAAATATGGCGTTTTATATGAGTTAAAAACACAAATTATATGATTAAATTGTTGTTTCTAATGGAAAAAAGAGGATACATAACTTGTGAGTAGATAGCACTAAAATTTGGATGTCTCTCAAAAAAATAAAAATAGCGGATCCAATATGGCGGACAAATTTTTCTTAAATTCATTAGATTCACTTGAAATTCGTTACTTGGGGGTTTTTGGGGTCGCTGATTACGAAATTGAAGTCAGATTTTAAAAATTCAAAATGGCGGATTCAATATGGCGGACTGATTTTTTTAAAATTCATTGGATTCACTTGAAACTCGTTACTCGTGGGTTTTTGGGGTCGCTAATTACAAAATTGAAGTCAGTTTAGAGAAATTTAAAATGGCGGATCCAATATGACGGACTGATTTTTTGTTTAATTTATCGGATTTACTTGAAACACGTTACTCGGGAGTTTTTGGGGTCGCTGATTATGAATCTAACGGTGAACTAACTTTTAACCAACACTAAATCTTCTTTGTCACTACATTAAACCTACTTTGAACCTACATAGAACCTATTTTGTCCTACAATGGACCTATTTTTCCTTACATTGGACCTATATTCTACCTAAGAGCGGTGAGCGTCGAACGGACTGAGTCTCGTTTTAAACAGTTCAGCCTAGAGTTACGAAACCCTGAAAACAAAAGACGATCAGCAAATCATCATTTCATTAACATTCCATTGTGTTGAGATGGCCGCTCTGGACAGTCTGCACCACAGCGCTCGGGACGACAGCGCTCGAGACGGCAGCGCATACGCCCTCTAATTTCGTTAGATCCGGTTCCGTTCTACTCGCCCTCAGAGAGAGACGTCCCGCGTGCACGCGTGCCTTAATTGTTACGATCCGTTATTACATTCTTTATATCAGTCCATTGCATCAGTCTTGTGCATAACGTATCGTATCAGCCTATTACTGCATCTATAATATATATATATATATATTATAAACAATCCCCGGGAAATATTCTACCCCTACTTCATGTACAATTCTTTAAGATTCGGTCAATTATTTCCCGAAATATTGGAAAAATGTTGGTACCAGCTTCCAAAAAATCAGTAACGAAAAATTATACACTTTATTGGGATTTTCAGTCGTGACGTAGCCGTGACGTCACAAGGCCAAGATGGCGGGCCTATTCCTAAAAGTAATAGAGCTGTCATATGTAAACACATATAAATTTTACGTTTTTCATAAATAATTAGTGAAATAACAATGTGTGTGATAAAAAAAGTGCGATGGGGGAACACCTAGAAGACAGAGGAGCAAGGTTTTCCCCTAGAGACACAAAAAATCGCGATTCTTGCTGTGTATTTGGCTGCAAAAGCTATGGATTAAAAGATACCTCTGTGCGATTCCACATGTTTCCACCTAAAGGAAAGTTCTATACTAAAAAAAAAGACATGTTTGAAAACATAGAGAAGATTGATGTTTGAAAACAATGGAAGAGAGTATTGAAAATAACAAAACCAGAGTG